AAAAAAAAAGAACGATTAGAAAGCCAGTCTCACTCTTAATCATCACTGTGAACCGCCTTTGTTTCCTGGCCACTTTTTTTTGGAGGGGAGGGGGGGGGACGGTATAACAACCAATTTGCCGTTGTTTTTCTCCTTACGTCAACTACAGAATCTTTTCACTTCAAACATTGAGACACCACCACTAAATTCCTTTCTTTTTTGTTTTAAACAACAAAAAAAAAATTTTTTTTTTTTTAAATTTTTAGATTTATCCACATTAATGTTCCAAAATGTACAAAAAGCATTTCGCCCACACACACACATACACACACCCGAAGACCTGACCTGACAAGCGTTGCACTAATTCGATTAGGTTCGATTACCATTATTTGGTGCCGTGTTGTTGTCAACTAGATTACAATTTCTAAATTACTATTTATTAATAAATAATAAACATCCAAACATTTAATTATGCTATTTCGGTAAATTTTTCAGAAAAAAGCGATTCAAAAAATAGTCATATATATATATATATTTTTTTTTTTTTATAGAAACTACGGAATAAACCTTTGTTTATTTGGAACCAAGAGCATCTGAAAATTCTTTGTCATTTTTTGTCCAGAAGCTGTTGTATTATATATTTGACGTTGTTCAACAAAAAAGTCTGAGTAAATTTAACCAAGAAGAGTAAAATTGTCAGAATTCTGAAGCTACATAACTCAAAAGCAGTAAAAAGATCAACATTCTTCAGTCATACTGAAGAAAAACCAAAACGTATATTCTAACTAAATGTTAAACAGATGATAACAAACGAATAGAATATACGACAACTTTTCACATTTTGATTTTATAACAAAAGCCTTTGTATTTTTTGATAGATTATCATAAACTTAAAGAAATTTTATCTCGTTTTTTTTTTTTTTATAATTTTTCAATAAGTTGTCGTTTGCATTATTTTCTTTCTGTTTAGCTGCAACTAAAGTTACTGAATTTCCTTTGTTAACTAAACAGTAATAAAAGAAAATTTATTGAAACGTTTTTATTCCACTTCAAGTTCCACACAGATGTTCCCCTGTTGCTTTTTTTTTTTCTTCTTCTTTCTTTTTTATTTGCTATCCATTACAAATTGAGACTCCATTTTGATATCAAAAGCAATTGCCGCGTAACAGCTTTGTTGTCGGAAGTTTGGTTGATTACACAGAGGTGGTACAGTCGATCAGCAGTTTTTCCCAGATCTTATCTTTTAAAGTAACAACTCATTTAGACAAAAAAAAGAAGCGTCTGTCCACAGTGTCGATTTGCAGTAATCACCAAAAAGATAAACAAAGTTTAAGTAAAGTTTGAACAGAAGTAAATGTTATTACAGATTATACAGAATACAATAGTTATCAGACACGGCATAATTAACAAAAAAATTGTACAGTTTAAAAGCAAAAACTATTAAATAAAAAAAATTTCAATTTTTTTTTAAAAAAATTTTTTAGCTCTTTTTTCACAAAAAAAATTTATAGCCAAACAAAATTATTCACAATTACTATATAACATTTGTCTACTTAAATCTGTTGTTAATTTAAAAATAAACTGTCAAAGTTTTTGCAGTTTTTTAGCCAACCAAGAATAATTGACCTAATAATAATTTTGCTATTTAGCCAGAATAGGTTTGACCAAAGAGAAGCACTTTATACTACCTGTCTACAAGCTAAAATAGTACATCTAATTTTGCGTAATGTATAGAACCTTAACAAGCAGAATCCGATTAATTCTTCAAAAAATTCCTTCTCAGATCCTTCACCACTTTGCAAACAAACAAACAGTACAAGAAAAAAAAAAACAAAAAGTTCACATAACTAACAAAGCGAATTATAAATTGGTACTGTAGAAGATACCGACAATATGCAGGTGTGCAATAACAAGTGTGAAAGTTCATCAAACACTATTTACAAATGCAAATTGAATTAGTTCTAATCTTATTCACAAGAAAATATGCGCTTTTTATATAGAGCCGCAAATATCGTTGACGGGAAACAAAAAAAACAGCTAAGGAACTGTAAACTGCTATTCTTTATACGCGTTTTAATCAGTTTTTTCAGCTTCTTTGCTGGTCTGTTTCTTTCATTTTTCTGATTGCCCATCAAACTGTCCTCTCAAAGATAACAAAAATTAGTGTATTAAGCAGCAGCAAGAAGTAAGTACGAAACTCGAGACTGACAATATGAAAACTGTTGCGGGTCTCAGTATTATCCCATTTCCACAGATACCATCTTCAGCCTGGGGCGGGACAATTGACAGTTTGTTCTGTCGTACAAACTTCGCTCTTCAACGACCGCATGAGGAACTGAACCCCCAACCTCTGTAGCACAAATCAGGCGCAACTACACTCTAACAAGCAACCGGCAAATTAACCCTTCCTACTGATTATGTGAATAATGCTGACTTCATCACAGTGGCAAAGTCTAGAAGAAATTTGCAATCACTTTAGCAACAAAGCGCTTTTCTGAAAACAAACAGGAGAAAATAAGGATGATAATTTTCAACTAAACCAGCAACTCATTTGCTAAGTCGTTTACTGAGGATCAGTCTTACAATGACAAAAAAGCAGTTAATAATTTAACAAATAACTCTTCTTCTGCCTTCCGCTCGACAAATATTTCAGAACAGTTTGAAAAAATTGATACGGAAACAAGATTGATTAAAATTAAAAAAAAAAAGTTTATTAGATTCTAAATGAATCAAATGTAATGAACCACTTTGTTTGCATGATAGAGCTCCAAAAAACATTTAGAAATCCCGCTTAAATACATTAATTAAGATAAAAATGACTTGATGAATAGGCACATTCAGTTTGTTTTTAAAGCAGACAATGCAACAACAGCGTCGTGTCAAAGTATACAATTCACAGACTGTTGGTGAAGTTTCAGTTAGT